CAGCAGGACAATGATCCGAAGGACAAGGCCAAAACCACACTGAAATGGTTTCAAAAGGAAAATGAATGTCCTGGAGTGGCCCAGTCAAAGTCCTGACTTGAATCCAATAGAAAATTTATGGCGAGACTTGAAGGTTGCAGTTCATCAACGATCCCCAAACAAACTTTTCAGAATTGGAGCAATTTTCTTAGGGAGAATGGGTAAGAATTACACCATCCCTTTGGGCAAAGCTGGTAGAGACCTATCCAGAAATACTCACAGCAGTAATTGATGCCAAGTGATTGATTACTTAAGGTTTGGTATATTTGTTGTTAAGCGCAAAGCTACACAATAGGCTATCTGTGCTCCGCCCTTTAGCATCATTAGCCTGCAGACTTACCGCTGAGCTTCTGGGAGGCTAACTGTATATAATTTACCTTTATTGAGGTATATTCAAATAATTTTTGTGAATTTTTATGGCGATATTTTGCATGTAGTATGTTATTCTTTCTAACAGAATATTGAAAGAGTGTAAACATGTACTAATTATTTTAATCAGGTAATGGTTGCATTGGCCAATGACTAGAAATTCATATTACTTTGGCCCTGTTTCTGTCCCACCTGGGGAAGAGCAAGCCTATTTCAAGTGGTGACACAGATATTTGTAAAAATTGGCAGGGTTTTGAGGTTTTCCTCCCCGATAAATGTTATTTGAAATTGTTGGTGACATATGCAGCATTGGATTTTAGTATACGCCACTTTAATGTTTTTGTCTGAATATCGGTAGTAAATAAGAATTCCTTTTCTCTTTGTACTTTTTTTTGTTTAAAAGACTATCATTGTTAACTTGCTTGGAACAGTGACTGTTAAAGAATCGTTTTGCCTACATCGCTGCAGTTCTTTTAATCGGCCGCAATAGGGCGCTGTTGCAATATAAGCTTACCGTATGTAGCTGTATCACGAAGCATGAAATTAAGTGTACGGAAACAACACAACGTACAGTTTTTAAAAATATAAAAACATGATTACTATTCTATATAATGTGCTTGTAAACTACACGCGAATATTTTATTTTATTTGTATGGATTACCTGTAAAATAAAAGTGTATTTAATTATATATATAAACTAATCATATGGAAATATCATCAGTAAATTATGCAAATTAATGCTACCGAAGGTTCGAACCTATCTTTCGTCAGAACTACAAATTTCTACTTTTCTTTGATCATATGTTAACTAGAAAAATCAAAACAAAAGCAAAAAACTTTTTTCCCAGTTATTTTTGTAGAGTTTGGCTAATTTGAGTCCCAAGCCTACTACCTGTCACCTTGTAACCTTTACAATTAAAAAAAGTAATACAATTATTTTATACATTTTCCTTTCTTTTTGAAAACAGTTCACAAAATGGCTTTCACGTGCATGTACTAAATATATACATACAGTGCCTTGCAAAAGTATTCATCCCCTACCAATATGTCATATTTTGATGAAATACAAAAAATATAAATAATTTATTTAAATGAACTTGTTTTTTTATTCAAAACTCTAATGATCAAACTTAACACTGTTATGTGTGAAGGAGGTTGAATGTCAGCAAAACCTACAAAGAAAATATATAAATTGAAATTTGCTGATTGCATAAGTATTCAGCCCCAATACTAGTTATGAACGAGTAAAATTCATGACTATTTCAATCATTGCAAGAGAATATTGACACGAATGAAAATGTATTTTCTAAGAGAAAATTGATATAAATCCATGATATTGAGATGATAATAAAGACTACGTCCACGTAAAGTTAGTTTACACGGTTTTGTTCACGTGTAAGATGTATAATTATAAAAAAGAAAACACAAGAAAAGCAGATTAAGAAACCTAAAAATAAAGAATATGTGGTCATGCACGCATTATTTGAAAGTTTGGAGGATTACAAAATTAGATAAATCATATTTCAAGAGATGAAATAACCCGAGCACGCGTGGAATGACCACCTTCTAGAAACGCTGAGTTTTCAAGTTTCATTAACTCTATTATATTATATACTTTATATGTACGTTTTTATGATTCTGCCCAACTTGTCAGTAGTTCTAAATCAAAGGTGACTGTGCCTGAGCTTTTGAGGTCTCTAACATGGTTGTTCAGTCCATTTATCATATAAAGTACCTTAAGTGGAAAATACCATATACAATAAAAGAGACAAAATCAATTCAAAACACAGAATTAATTAGCTATTATTTATAATAACTAGGAACAGCATTTTATCTGAACGTGTTTTACTTGTATACTTTAGGCCTACTATATTACAGAAAGAGAAGATTAAATATGACCTATGGAAACTGAATTACTGTGTCGTATATATATATATATAT